TATATGTGTGTGTGTGTGTGTGTGTGTGTGTGTGTAAAAACAGAATAATGTGCCAGCATTTTACTTTGAACCCTCACAGCTGACTGTGCAATGACCTTAATAGTACTTTGTCAAGTGATGGGTTTACTGCATATTATATACAGTAACAATATTCATTCTGGTGTCCTGACATACCAGAGTCTTCTGAAAGGTGCTTCATATCATTCCGTTGCCTTCTTTCTTGGCCTTTCAACTGTTTTGTCTCTCAATACCTCAGCAGAGAGGTGCTCAGGATACTGTCAGATTTGTTAAATTACCCCAGATTTTCATATTTGATCTACTGACCAGCATACTCCAGTTATTAAATTTTCTTTTAGTATCATTTTCAGGTGTCCACATTAATTTGTATCTTTCATGTTTTTTCTGCTTTGATCAGGCTTTTAAATTTGTACAGTGAATGTGCACCCTCAGCAGCAGATGTCTGTATCACTAGTCTTTTTCAGTCAGATCAGTCTTCTGTGAGGTACTACCATTATTTCAGATGGATGTGATTTTAATATTGCTGCTGTATGTAAGTGGGTAAGTAATATTTCTTGGTAGTGAATTTCTTCAGAACTAAACACCATCTGTATTTACAAGTATTGAACAATGAAATTAATAGGACTTTTAAAAAAATATAAATTTATTATGCTGGAATGAAGTCACATTTACCTATTGCACATTGCCAGTTTGCCTCAGGCTTTAAAATATTTTCCCCTCAGTCACTCACCTTTATTCCAAACTTTTTCAATTACTGTACATCAGTGGTCCCCAACCTTTTTATCACTGCGGACCGGTCAACGCTTGACAATTTGACCGCGGCCCGGGGAAGGGGGGGGTTACGTAGATTGTTTATATTGTTAATATAATAATAAACGTGAATCCACTGTATTGAAATTTTTTATTCCCCATAACGCTAAATCAATGGGAGCCCTGAGCCCCAGCACTCGTTTCAGTGTCTCAGGGTATTCTGTCATGACTTTAATCCAGAACACCGACAGAGTTGTTGTCTCGAACATGCTTTTAAGGCCGCCGTCATTTGCGATCTCCAGCAGTTGATCTTCTTCTTGCACAGACCTGCTGGATTCACCTGGTTTGTTGACAGGTGGGTTGAACAGTGAAATGAACAGTTAATAGATTTTTTTTATTAACATTTTGCTGACTTTGTTTTGGGGTGGGGGACTTGTGACCTCAGTATCTCAAATCCTGGCTGTGGTCTTGGTTAATCTGTATACTTGCTTTTCTCTGTGTGCTTAGTAGTGTTGCTTTCGTCAACGAAAATTATGACTAAATATCGTCGTCAACGAAACTTTATCACGTGACGGAGACGAGACGCAACACAAATGCTGGTCATGTGACGATGACTATAATTAAATATATAATGCGATATTGTTGACCATAAAAAACGAGACGAAATGTTATAACGTTATTTCGTCTAGTTTAGTCGTGTTATTATTATTATTATTTTGCAGTATTTGTTTCCTGTGTCTCGCTTCAGGGGCCGCATCAGACGCGTCGCACTGCGCAGACGCAGGCGACGTCACTTCTTTAACCACCACTCGCGGCATTATTGAGAAGACGACAACAGAGTTAAGTGTGACACAGAGAAAGAGATCGATGGCCGGCCAGCCGGGGTTCGTCATTGGGAGAAAAAGAAGAAACGACATTTGGAAAAACTTTAATTACATAGAAGTGGAAAAGAAAACGGAATTTGTTGTGGAAAAAGATGGGGAGAAATGTGGCCACAAAATGTTTATTGGATGTACTCTTGAGTCTATAAGGTAACAATAATATAATAAGATAACCTTGTTTGAAATGGGTTTGACTAAAAGAAACTTGGTTTCATCTATACTACTAGGTACTTACTGTATACTCTATTGACTGTGTGCTGTCCTCGATACACGCCTACTTTCGTGACACTAGACAGCCAGCGAACAAATAAAAGGGTTGATGCTCCACACAAGGCTTTCTTTTCTTTTCAAATGGAGTTTATCCTTATCATTCCTTATTATATTGTAACTGTAAACAGAATCATGCAAAAAACAAATTAGCATACATGACGTTGCTACGTGAAACATCAAAACAACTGCAATTAGCACACGGAAACACAACACGTAAAATGACAGCAATTACTATAACAGAAAAAGCTTACTTAATACAGCACTACTTACAAAGACATAGAATTCCACAAGCACAAGCACTAGGAGAAGAATAATGAGTCTAAGAAAAGTTTGGAAATACCGAGAAACTGTTAATTTCTCCCTTCAACAAAGACGTCCAAGATCTTCTAACTCTGGTGAGAGCTCTCACTCTATATTTTTTCACAATCCCATGGATACACAGCGTGAAGACCTCTCACTCTGATGAGTTTTTTCAAACCAAGATTCTAACTATTTAACTTATATCTTAACCAAAGGCATTACAGACTGGGTTAAATAGATTTGCTTTACTAAAAAGAGACTAAAATACAATTTTCATTGACTAAAACTAGACTAAAGTGTCATCAGTTTTCGTCAACTAAAACTAGACTAGACTAAAAAGAGTATGAATGTGACTAAAACTAATAAAAACTAAAATGACAGCTTCACACAAAGACTAGACTAAAACTAAAATGAAAACAGGCCGCCAAAAACAACCATAGTGTTTAGTTTAGTTACTCCATAGCCACAAGTTCTTGTTTAAGTTATAATTTTAAACTGGAGTTATATGAGAAGAAGTACAAAAGCACAGTTTAATTGTCTGGATTATGGCACAAAAAATGCTTGTGATCACTTCCTGGATGGACAGACTAGTAGGCATGAAACTACTGAAGCTAGTTTTAAGACAAACCTTACAATGCAAGAAAATGCTTGATTTTTATTATTTGATTGCCTTGTTCTGTACTTTACTGCTTTATATCGTAACAACCATTTGGTCTATACTGCATGAATAAGTGAATGCTCCGTCTTAATTAGTGTACATGTTTTCTTTAGTTCTGCTGTTTTGTTCAGAACAGCATAGACTTCACACTGTATGTTATCAGGCCTGTGGTGCAATCTTCAAAGCTGATACAAGGCATTCTGATGCTAGGAGCTGAAGCCTCTGTTAGTGGATTTGAAGGGTGAGGTGTGGGCTAATGGACTATAATGTAGTTGTTCACAAGCTGTATAAATGTATATTTAGTTTTTTTTTTTTTTTTAAGTGTCCATGTTCAGGACCTTTAGCAAATTTATGTAGTAATTATGTCATGTTAATAAATGTTTTATTTGTAATATTTTTAAAATATTTTCATATAATTCAGTATCAAATAGGGTTGTTAATATATTCAATTAATCTGGACAATTTAACACATTACTATTTTTAGCACAAATTATTCATATGACCAAGTTTAACCCCAACTTCTTCCCGTAATTGCAGTACAGATGGGTACCTGGCTGTGTGTGTTAAGGTCACGTCAAACGAGGATAATACAATGATCAAGGAGATTTCACCTGGTGTGCTGAATGGCAAGTTCACTGTTCTCTTTGGCGGGCCACATTGTGCAGAAGCAGAGGTCAGCTCCATCTGAAAATGTTAAAAGGGTAGCCTGCCTGAGCAACTAGTTAGATGAAGAGTAGACTGTATGACTGGTTGACTGGAGGCATGTTGCACATATGCACACTGTCTGAAGTAATCATCTAAGCAAGAGAAAGAGACTGGTCACATAGTCTCTTCACTCTATGCATATGGAAACATAAACTGACATACATAGTATGGAAACAATTTACTGTCAAATTATTTGTGACTTTGTTGCAGGCATTACTTTTTAACCGTTCTTTATGTAGGCATCTACTAACTCTGCAGTTCATATGGATGTTTTGATCAAGGCCAAACACTCGCATAGAAATACTAGAACATATATACATCTCTTTTCCTTTTTTTTCTTTTAAGCTTTAGGTCATGTTTAAGATGATGATTCACCATAGTAAAATTGTAGATAATTCAGAAAACAAGGAAAAGCATGCCATGGGCTTTTTAAATATTTGGGATGTTAATAAAATTGAAGAATGTAAGTTTTGAAATTCATCCCACTACTATGTTGATGATATGCAGCTGTATGTCCCCATAAGGGCAAGTGTGCCGTTTCAGCAGGGGTTTCCAATAAGTCTCCTGTAAGATACCGGTAGCTCACACCCTGTTTTCAAGTAGCTCGCCTAAAGGTTGATACAATAGGCTGTAATAGCTATAACATAACTTCACTCAGGAAACTCGGTTCAAATTGCTATCCAACCAAATAAATGTAATGCACATCACCAGTCAATCAAATGAGTTACTCTGCTGTCAAGTTTATGTTAAGTGATGTTAGCACCTCTTTTGGATAACTTTTACAAGAAGTTATGCTGCAGAGTGACCATGGCTTTTTTTTCTCTTAGTTCTTCAATTTTGAAAAATTGAGTGTAATCAACTCGGTCCCTATTTAGTATTATTCAGTGTACTGACAATTATCGATGTAATACTTTGATACTGAAGAAAACAAATATGATAGTCCTTAGGATAATTCTGCTGTTATAAAGAAAGCACATCTTTTTTTCTATGGTTTCTAAGCGGATTTATGGGTTTTATTTGTGATGGATGTCAGAAACTAAATCGCCCCAAGTTGAAAATGTCTTTCATGTTTGTGTTCAGATTTCACTGATTCATTATGTACAGGTCAAAGTACACATCCTGTTTATAACATCAAGTCCCAGACAAAAATACTGGTTATAAAATGCGCTGAAAAAAAAATCTTCTTTGTCTGTTGGTTCTCTAATCTCTGACTTAAGTAGTTGCACTTGGATACACACTACTACAGCAGAGCTCCACCTCAACTGACCACAGCAGTCAAGTCATGCTGGTACATCACTGCATGAGTGACAGGCTGTTAATGTAATGCCTAATATATAATAGTATAACAGTATAGGATATACAATACAGTATAACATCTTTCTGCATTGAGTAGCCGACTAATACTTTTAAAACTTTAAGTACATTTTCATGATAATACATAATTTTACTTAACATTTTCAAGACAGGACTTTTACTTGTAACAGAGTAGGCTACTTTTAGAGTGTGATATTAGTACTTTAAGTAAAGGATGTGAATACTTCCTTTACTACTGGTGCTAAGATGCAAACTAACATGCTTTAGTTATATAACAGTTATTTTCTTTATCATGTTTATAATTTTGTTTATTTTTTAGGGTCAATCTAGCTGCAGTCCAGCTCAGTGAACTCAAATTCAAATTTTATTTGTATAGCGCCAAATCATGACAGAAGTCATCTCAGGACACTTTACAAAGTAAGGGCTAGACTTGATATTATCACTATTACTATAGAGGAAAACAAAAGCAAGCATTTGGCTGCAGTGGGGGAGGAAAAACTCCCTTTAACGGAAGAAAGGGAGTGAACCGTCACTTGCAATAGAAAAAGACAATTTTTTTCATTCTTTTAAGGGTGGTTGTAACTGATAATAGTAATTGTGTAAAACCATATACTGTAATACCATGAAACCATAATATTTTCTGAGATGGTTATCATACCGTGAAAATGTTTTGGGGGTATTTTTTTTCTTTCTTGGGGGATATGTGGGGTAGCAGGTTAATACATTGAATATGAAAGTCTGGTATTTAGATTATCTTGACGGACACTCCTACTCAGAAGGGGGCGGGAATGCACCTAACGTTGTTTGCCAACCGCCAAAAACATGAAGAAGAGAAACTGGAACATGTTTTATGAGTTATTTAAAAATACAGTTCCAATGAACTTTAACGGAGGTGTTGGGGGGAGCTCAGGGGATATAGGGTACAGAGCACTTCTTAGTTTTTTAGAGAGTACAGGGCTAAGTATAAGCTATTATTTCTGTGTAGCTTCTTCCGGTTCTTTCAAACCAGGAACTCTCAATGAGACGAAAGAGACTGCTTTAGATTTTATAAAAAATAACCGTGCTGGTTTATTCAGAGGATCACAGGTAAAATTCACAGTACACGTCCAGAGCTCTCTCACCCCTCTGCCTGCGCGCAGGCAGCAGAAAAGCTGAAGATGTCTGGACCCAACAACCTATATAATATTAATCATTTTTGGGCTAGCCCATGCTACAAGGGGCGTCAAACCGTGACGCCACCCGATAAGCAAGCTTTGCAGCTGCTCTGTCGTTTAGCCAAAACATGAGGCAAAGTCAAGGTGCGTGACTGTTGTTTTCGTGGTGTGTATCTAAACAATGGGACATAACCTTACACTTTAAGACAAATATTAAGACTAGCATTACAGTTGACCCTAAAAGCTCTTTTCCTGTAACCTTGGCGTGCCTGCAATTTTACTGCAGGCTAATAGTTACATCAAACTAGTCACCCTGTCTGCACTAAACATCTTCTAATACAACAGATCTCTAATCCATATCTATCTAACTAAGAAATAACCTAACATAAGCAAGACAATATAATGTGAACTGAGCAAGGTTATTTTGTTATAGTAATAGGTAGTGGCCGTTCTGATTCACACTTCAGTTTAGAAGGTGGTGGTAATACACCTAAAGCTGTTTGCCAACCGCCATTAAACAACCGAAGAAGAAGAAGAGGAGTAGCGGGCTGCAGTAAACAGGGTTGGCTACAAATAGAGCGAAGGTCTGTTTGTAAGTGTTTAACATGTACTTTAGTGTTGGTCTTGATTTACGATAGAAACACACAGCTTGTATTGGGTATGTGCGCTTCCCTTTTCAGTGTTTGAAGTACTTGCACGTGTCAACTAGCAGCTAGCAAGTGCTAGCTTGGGGGAGACTGCAAGTGCAGTCGGTGTAACAGTTCTAGTGTTGACATTCGTCAACGAAAATTATGACTAAATATTCGTCGTCAACGAACCTTTATCGCGTGACGAAAACGACACAAGACGCAACGACAATGCTGGTCATGCGACGATGACTATAAATGTATAATGCAACATTGTTGACGAAAAAAACGAGACTAAATGTGGTTTACAAAATAAAAATTATGCTAAAATGTCTCCATTTTCGTTGACCAAAATGTGACGAAAGGAAATCTTTTAACGTTATTTCGTCTCGTTTAGTCGCGTTATTATTATTATTTTGCAGTGTTTATGTTTCCTGTGTCTTGCTTCAGGGGCCGCATCAGGTCGCACTGCGCAGACGCACTTCTTTAAGCCACACTCGCGGCTTTATTTAGAAGACAACAGAGTTAAGTGTGACACAGAGAAAGGGACTGATGGCCAGCCAGCCGGGGTTTGTCATTGGAAGAAAAAGAAGAAACTACATTTGGAAAAACTTTAATTACATAGAAGTGGAAAAGAAAACGGAATGTGTTGTGGAAAAAGATGGGGTCGAAATGCGGCCACAAAATGTGTATTGGATGTATTCTTGAGTCTATGAGATAACAATATAATAAGATAACCTTATTTGGAAATGGGTTTGGCTAAAAGAAACGTTTGGTTTCATCTATACTACTAGGTAGGTAGGTACTTTATTGATCCCTCAATGGGGTAATTTCAGTGTTTCAGCAGCAATGGAGAACAAACATCACACCATGAGAACAAGCACCGCACACACATCCTGATAAATAAATTCCAAGTACTCAAAAAATAGACAGAATCAAGTATTTGAATAATCAAGAACAGAATTTACATGCGTGCATATTAACCATGCATTTTACCCCAGGATTTGAGTATTGCACTTCAGTTGACTATTACATAGTAATGATGTGCTGAGAAGAAAATTTCAAGGTCCATTTAGCACCTGTTCTGGAGCGTTCATGTGACAGACTGGTCTTCACCAGTAGTGGATGTTATTTATGGCTCTGCACCGATGACAGCTGGTGTGTTGTAATCGCGATATCTCGAACTCCTTCAGGGGATTTCTTCATATGTGTCACAGATGTCCACTTGGATTCTGGGATGAACTGATCACATTTTCTGGCCAAAGGTTAAGGTCACACTGAACTAACATCTGTCCAATTTTTATCAGTGCAATATCTCAGGAATCCCTGGAGGGGATCTCATTACATCTGCAACCTGACTGGTTGGCAGAGACATACAGCCTCCAGGTGGCAACTGTTGATTGAAAATAATTTCTCAACTATTGTTTTTAAGACCAAGAATGAACTTTGAATTAATTGAGAGTCCATGTTGCTAAAGGTCAGAATACTTTGTTGCAATCGGTTCTTTTTACCATGCTAACTCTGAGAGACGAGGCAGTCCAAGTACAGTGCCTTGCGAAAGTATTCGGCCCCCTTGAACTTTGCGACCTTTTGCCACATTTCAGGCTTCAAACATAAAGATATAAAACTGTAATTTTTTGTGAAGAATCAACAACAAGTGGGACACAATCATGAAGTGGAACGAAATTTATTGGATATGTCAAACTTTTTTAACAAATAAAAAAACTGAAAAATTGGGCGTGCAAAATTATTCAACCCCCTTAAGTTAATACGTTGTAGCGCCACCTTTTGCTGCGATTACAGCTGTAAGTCACTTGGGGTATGTCTCTATCAGTTTTGCACATCGAGAGACTGAAATTTTTGCCCATGCCTCCTTGCAAAACAGCTCGAGCTCAGTGAGGTTGGATGGAGAGCGTTTGTGAACAGCAGTTTTCCACAGATTCTCGATTGGATTCAGGTCTGGACTTTGACTTGGCCATTCTAACACCTGGATATGTTTATTTGTGAACCATTCCATTGTAGATTTTGCTTTATGTTTTGGATCATTGTCTTGTTGGAAGACAAATCTCCGTCCCAGTCTCAGGTCTTTTGCAGACTCCATCAGGTTTCCTTCCAGAATGGTCCTGTATTTGGCTCCATCCATCTTCCCATCAAGTTTAACCATCTTCCCTGTCCCTGCTGAAGAAAAGCAGGCCCAAACAATGATGCTGCCACCACCATGTTTGACAGAGGGGATGGTGTGTTCAGGGTGATGAGCTGTGTTGCTTTTACGCCAAACATAACGTTTTGCATTGTTGCCAAAAAGTTCGATTTTGGTTTCATCTGACCAGAGCACCTTCTTCCACATGTTTGGTGCGTCTCCCAGGTGGCTTGTGGCAAACTTTAAACGACACTTTTTATGGATATCTTTAAGAAATGGCTTTCTTCTTGCCACTCTTCCATAAAGGCCAGATTTGTGCAGTATACGACTGATTGTTGTCCTATGGACAGAGTCTCCCACCTCAGCTGTAGATCTCTGCAGTTCATCCAGAGTGATCATGGGCCTCTTGGCTGCATCTCTGATCAGTCTTCTCCTTGTATGAGCTGAAAGTTTAGAGGGACGGCCAGGTCTTGGTAGATTTGCAGTGGTCTGATACTCCTTCCATTTCAATATTATCACTTGCACAGTGCTCCTTGGGATGTTTAAAGCTTGGGAAATCTTTTTGTATCCAAATCCGGCTTTAAACTTCTCCACAACAGTATCTCGGACCTGCCTGGTGTGTTCCTTGTTCTTCATGATGCTCTCTGCGCTTTAAACAGACCTCTGAGACTATCACAGTGCAGGTGCATTTATACGGAGACTTGATTACACACAGGTGGATTCTATTTATCATCATTAGTCATTTAGGTCAACATTGGATCATTCAGAGATCCTCACTGAACTTCTGGAGAGAGTTTGCTGCACTGAAAGTAAAGGGGCTGAATAATTTTGCACGCCCAATTATTCAGTTTTTTATTTGTTAAAAAAGTTTGAAATATCCAATAAATTTCGTTCCACTTCATGATTGTGTCCCACTTGTTGTTGATTCTTCACAAAAAATTACAGTTTTATATCTTTATGTTTGAAGCCTGAAATGTGGCAAAAGGTCGCAAAGTTCAAGGGGGCCGAATACTTTCGCAAGGCACTGTAAAAATTACTGCAGGTAGTGCAATGTAGGCCTAACTTCACAAAGAAGATGCCAAGCCGTGGCATTCCTAGGGACAGCTCTGCAGCTGCCCCGAGCAGTAGCCAAAACATGAGGAAAAATCAATGTGTGAATGTCTGTTGATTACGTGGTGTGTAACTAAAAACATTCTAACACGACCTCTAGTGACATGTCCTAACATTAAACATAAGAAAATATTATGGCTATGGCTACAGTTATACATGTCATAATAATAATATTAAACATCCTGTCTGCTGACAGTCATCCACTTTTTCTATCTAGTTATCCTTGACCATAAGCATCCTGCAGTAACTCATGAAAATGACTAAGCATTTAACAGCCTAAGCTAGACATCCTGTCTGCTCTAAAACATTTCTAATACTTAAAGTATCTAACCAATATCTATCTGACTAAAAATACCTAACAACTTTTAAACTGGAATATCTAGAATACTTTGACAACTGAGCAAAATTTTATCTGCTGATAAAGGTCATGAAATATGATCAAAAGCTTGAACAGTTACATGGGTCAAGAATGGACTTTCAGGTCAGTTGTTTGGTATTGTATGGTATTACCAAGACAATTACACAATTCAGTACTATGACATAAATAAGAAACATCTTTTGAAGCACAGCTGTATGCAAAGGTTTGGGTAAATTACACATTTTATTGATTTTTTTAAGTGAAAATATTAATACCCCTCCAGTGGCAAATGCACCTTAAAAAGAGCAGTCGCATATGAAAGCACTTATTTTATATTTCATGAAATGAAAAACAATTAAGAAATTTAAACAGCACCCATGGCATGTGCAGAAGTTAAGGCACCCTTTTACTTGTGACGTCTTAGAACTTTATTGACTTCGTCGGCCTTAATTTACTCATTAGGGCCTGTAAGGCAGGTCAAGAATGGTTCAGAATTGTCACGTGTTGACACTTCTTGAGCTGATAAATTCTTACTTTTCAAACTTTGTGGTTATCACTCAACAGCTGTGAGCTTCTCTTAGCAACTGACTGAGGATCAGAACATGAAACCAGTTGATTCCTAGAAAACGGGGCTATGAAAAGATATTAAAGCATTTCAGCTGTCTGAAATTTCAAAAGTGGTAGTTAAGGAGAACTGCGGAAATCACAAAAGGATCTGTAAGTCTAAGATAACCTTCAGACGAAACTGCAAGTCTATTGGGCAGAGAGGCTATGACTGCAAAGAACCTGCAGGACAATTTTGAAAACACAGGAGCGGTGGGGTGCCACAGCACTGTTACATTCCTTGGACAAACAGTCTACATGGGAGAGTCATCTCTGCAACCTCTCTACAGACAATCATTGTCTGAAGTGTGCAATAGAACATTTTAAAAAGCTTGACCTACTTGGAAAGAAGTGCTGTGGACAGATGAATTTAAACTGGAGCTCTTTGAAGACTAAAAACTTTGAGTCACTAAAGGTGTGCTTGGGGGGAAAAAAGGGGCAGCATTTGATGAAAAGAACACCGGCAGCTGTTAAGCATGGGGCTGAAATATTCTGCTTTGGGCTTGTGGCACAGGAAACGTTTACATTGGATCCAGAAAGTATTCACAGCGCTTAACTTTTTCCACATTTTGTTATGTTACAGTGTTATTCCAAAATGGATTAAATTCATTATTGTCCTCAAAATTATACAAACAATACCCCATAATGACTGTGAAAAAAGTTTGTTTGAAATCTACCCAAATTTTTTAAAAATGAAAAGTATGAAAAAAAAAATCACATGTACACAAGTATTCACAGCCTTTGCTCAATACTTTGTTGAAGCACCTTTAGCACCAGTTATAGCCTCCAGTCGTTTTGAGCATGATTCTACAAGCTTGGCACACCTATTTTTGGGCAGTTTCTCCCATTCTTCTTTGCAGTACCTCTCAAGCTCCATCAGGTTGGATGGGGAGCGTCTGTGCACAGCCATTTTCAGATCTCTCCAGAGATGTTCAAAGTCTAGGCTCTGGCTGGGCCACTCCAGGACCATCCGTAGCCACTCCTTTGTTATCTTGGCTGTGTGCTTAGGGTCATTGTCCTGTTGAAAGATGAACCGTTGCCCCAGTCTGAGGTCCAGAGCATCTAGAACAGGTTTTCATCAAGGATGTGTCTATATTTTTTAGCTTACGGGAAAAAAAAGATGTCTATATATTGCTGCAGTCATCGTTCCCTCGATCCTGACTAGTCTCCCACTTCCTGCCACTGAAAAACATCCCAACAGCATGATACTGCCACCACCCCATGCTTCACTGTAGGGATGGAGTTCAATCTTTGTTTTATCAGACCAGAGAGCTTTGTTTCTCATGGTGTGAGAGTCCTTCAGGTGCCTTTTGGCAAACTCCAGGCAGGCTGCCATGTGCCTTTTACTGAGGAGTGGTTTCCATCTGGCCACTCTACCATACAGGCCTGATTGGTGGAGTGTTGCAGAGCTGGTTGTTCTTCTGGAAGGTTCTCCTCTCTCCACAGAAATGTTGGGGCTCTTTCAGAGGGACCATTGGGCTCTTGGTCACCTCCCTGACTAAGGCCCTTCTCTCTCGATCGCTCAGTATGGCCGGGCAGGCCGCTCTAGGAAGAGTTCTGGTGGTTCCAAACTTCTTCCATTTACAGATGATGGAGGCCACTGTGCTCATTGGGACCTTCAATGCTGCACAGATTTTTCTGTACCCTTCCCCAGATTTGTGCCTTGATAGAGTCCTGTCTTGGAGATCTACAGACAATTCCTCAGACGTCATGGTTTGGTTTGTGCTCTGACATGCACTGTTAACTGTGGGACCTTATATAGACAGTTGTATGCCTTTCCAAATCATGTCCAGTCAAGTGAAGTTCCCACTGGTGGTCTCCACTCAAGTTGTAGAAACATCTCAAGGATGATTGTTGGAAACAGGATGCACCAGAGCTCAATTTTGATTGTCATGGCAAAGGCTGTGAATACTTATGTACATGTGATTTTTTTCGTTTTTTTATTTTTAATAAATTTGCAAAGATTTCAAACAAACTTTTTTCACGTCATTTTGGGGTGTTTGTGGAATTTTGAGGACAATAATTAATTTAATCCATTTTGGAATAAGGCTGTCACATAACAAAATGTGGAAAAAGTTAAGAGCTGTGAATACTTTCTGGATGCACTGTATAGAGGGAAGAATGCATTCAACTCAAAATTAAAAAATTCTAGATGCAACATGCCACAATTACTGTTTTATTTTTTCTATTAAGTTTGTGAAACAAAAAGTGAATGCATTAACAGAGGGGCTCGTTTTTAATGTCTGTTAGCTGCAGACATTATCTACTACCACCCATTCACACATTAATACAAAATTCAGCAAAATATGGTATTTCCTATGGTTTGTAATATGAACATGGCTGGCTCATGCTTTCTTTTTGTGCTGCATGATTGTACAGATGGCCAGCAAACTGACACAACATTGATGCTTGAACATAACACTAGCTGATGCACTGATTTTTCTAAAGCTTACAAAGGTCTTGTATCTTGTAAGGAATTCTCATAGACAGGAGTAGATAGGAAGGAGAATGAAAATCTTTAGTTACAGTACAGAACAGACCTACCAGTACCAATGGAAGGACATTTGTCATGTCTGCGTTTAGGTGGAGCATCCCACTGGGTGCACGGCGTGTCATGGACGCAGTCAAAGAGGGTCACCAGAGCACCCTGAGCTCGGGCAAAATGGTGGCCTTGGCTGCAGGGCTTTCTCTCGGTGCTACAGTGGGCTACATGGTCTATCGCCACATAAGCAGCAACAACAGTGAGTATCTGCTGTCAGTGACATTTGTGTGTAAATGATAAATATTGTTTATTTTCTGACAACCTCCATAATTTTCCTTACCAGGTCAGGGACCCAACACTGAAGTGTCAAAGTTGACACTTCCAGTAGACGTTTATAGGAACATAAGAAGATATCAAGCCACCTTTATGGATATCGTGAGTGCTACAATACCAGAAAATTATATTTTTTTCCAAAGGCAATATTAAATGACTGCTGAAATAGGTATAATTGGTTAGCTACCTCAGGTTGTTGCATGTCCTTTTGCCAAGTTTATGTTTATATGACAGACTTTCAACTAATGATTTGTTTCATTATCAGAATTGTGTAACCCCAAAGTACAAAGTAATAACAAAAAGACCTGAAATAATAGTCAAATGAGTAAATTGTGTAAAATGTATAAACAATTTGTGAAATAACTGACCAAGTTATTTAAGCTCAACTCACTACTATGAATGACATTATTAGTGTCATAACTGCATTTTATTGGATATAGTTTTATTTTATTACAGACATCTGTATTTCAAAATGTTAGTCATTTCTCTACTCTCTTGCTGTCTTTCTGCTTCAGGTGACCCAGAAGTCTGGGGCTCTTGTAAGGGTTTCATCCTATTCAGGAGAGTCCAGATGTAAGACAGATGTGTGTTTCCTGCTGCAGGGCTCTAAGGAGCAAGTCTTGCTGGCCCGCTGCATGCTGGAGAACCTGGTCGCAGACTGTGAACCGGTCACTGTGGATTTGGAAGTTCCTCAGACTGCCTTTGGACGGATAATAGGTAGCTGTCAAATGATCAGGATGCTCAGATTGATTCCTAGTTTTGCATTTGTCTCAAGTGATTACTTTCAACATTAATGTTGTGCTAATGTTCATTCAGATTGATTTGACTCATACTTTCCATTAGCCTGAATCTATTTCAGTTCTAAAAGCTGCACTAATCAATTTTATCATATGAACTGTGGATCAGCTGACTAACTGCACTGTAAAAAGTGCAGTTAGTCACAGATGGTTATCACAAACACTGCAGGTACACTCTGCAGTTTTTGTAGCCTCTTTTATTTCACTGATTTTGTTTGCAAGCCATTCTCTTCAGTACCAGTGCCAACCACATCAGGCAGCTGTTTGCAGTGGAAACGCTCTGACAAACCCACTGTACGCTGCCTGTCCACCAAACAGCAGATAGACATGCCAGATGTTTTTGTTAGAGTGGGTGGAATCTAAACTCTAGTTAAAAAGAGAATGACTGTTGGACTTCTATTCATCAGCAGACACGAGCACCACTGGAAGTGAATGATAATGTTGCTCTGCATCTGCTGGAAGTGCAACCAATAACTGTTTATCATTCTGTCAGCCATATCAACTGTATAAGGTGATATGTCAGATCTTGTGTTTTTAACTTGATACAAGTGTTCCACCCATCTTTCTTTCTTTCTTTCTTTCAAGTGTTCCACCCATCCATTCATGCAGATTCACTTTGCTCCAGAGTTCCGTCATTGTCAGACAGACTTGTCAAGTTCTGCAAACATATTAAGACAGGACAATAAACCTCCATCTAAACCTAAAATCACACTTTCTTTTTGCACATTTTTTATAATGTGTTAAAAGTGAGAAATGAGAACAAATTAGGATGATTCTGTATTTTTTTATTACTGCCAGCAAATTGCATGAAAAGCTGCCAGCAGTGGTCTACATTTGGCCCCATACATGGTTTGTTTGTGTGTGACATTGACTAAGATCTGTATTAGACTGAGACCCTGCTGCTATATGAAACACTCTGGGAGCTTAGTGCGGTGTGTATATTTCCAGTCTTTTGCTTGGTATCTCTGTGCCTGTGCTGCAGGCCGTGGAGGAGAAAGTGTAAAATTGATCTCCAGGACCACAGGGGCCAGAGTGGTTTGTTCCAAAGAGAAGATGCATGGTCCAGGTGCAAAGGGTACTATTACAGTCACAGGGAGCAGACAGGAGGTGAAACAGGCCAAGGTGAGTTGGATTCACTCACTGGGATTACCCATGTGTTGCTGGTCCTTTTATTTAGGCATGGTGTGTAGAATAAATATAACTTGTCTCATCTGGTTTTAGGAGCTGATTCTAGAAAAGGTTCGAGAGGACATAATGGTTAGGAAAAAGATTTCTCAGTCATCTGCCCTGCGCCAGAAACGTGGCCATACTGCTGTAAATGAGAAGCCTGATAGCACAAAAACCGAAGAACCAGTGGGCTTAAACAACAATGGCCCCTTCTCCCAGACAGAGAAAAATGGGCTTGCTTATGCCAATGAAACCACAGGAGAACCAAAAGCTATTTGTAACAAGATGGAGGAGCTGAAAATCAGCAGCAGAGACAACAATGAAGAGGAGGAGGGCAGCATCTCCACAATCTCACTTTCTGAAGGTTCCAAGTTTGAACGTTAGTTCACTGTCTCTGTAGTGTAGTCTTGAAAAGACATGATGCAACTGTCTCACTAGAGTCTGTCTTTGAACATGGTCATATCATACAGTGATTATTAGCTTCTTTTTTGTGTGTGTTGTCCAGTTCCCAGTCCAGACCTGAGCTTCCAGCCAGATGAACATTTAGAGGTGTATGTTTCTGCGTCAGAGAACCCAAACCATTTCTGGATCCAGATCCTTGGGGTTCGCTCCCTCCAGCTGGACAAACTGACAGAAGAGATGAACTGCTTCTACAGCAGTGGCGACCTGGCAGTGAGGACGTGTCCTACTGTTTTTTATATTTTGTGTCATTTTTTGGCACAGATCAACAGAAACTTTTCAAAATAATGCACTAATGTACTAGTAGTAATGTACAAGAAAGCATAAATGGCAATGTTTCTTTGTTTTCCAGGAGCAGCGGGTGGAGACCCTTGTGGTGGGAGATATTGTGGCAGCTCCATACCAAGACCACGGCACATGGAACAGGGCAAGGGTGCTGGGAGTCCTGGGATCTGGACTGGTGGAACTTTACTATGTTGACTTTGGAGACAATGGGGAGCTGCCCAGAGACACCCTCTGTCGTATCAGGTAACAACACACTAATACATCCACAGCATTTTCTTTAATTACATATTCATTTTATAATCCTGAATTGTAGATGTATAAAATTCTGACACAAAAAGTCAAACTCAAGAGTGTGATAGATGGTCTGCAGCTTCATGGCCGAGTGGTTACAGCTTTGACTAATGTGTGATTCTGCTTTTTTCATGTCTGTCTTAATATAATGCCCATACAGTATATACTTCGGTCAGTGGAGAGATAACCAATTTCACGTTTGTTGAAGCTTCTGTTCAAGCCAGGCTGGAAGAAACGTGTTGTAACTGAGCAGTTTTTCAGGAAATTGTGTGATATTATTGTTATTCCTGTGTGCATGTTGCTTGTGTTCAGTGAAATCTGCATGTGTGGCAGTTCAGGAGGTCAAAGGTGTTCAAATCAGAGCTGGATACACATCACTTGGGGGTGGCTGTGGTTCAGGAGGTCGATACTGTAGGGTCGTCTCCTAAATGGAAGATTAGTGGTTCGATTCCTGGCTTGTCCAGTCTACATGTCGTAGTGTCCTTGAGCAAGACACTGAACCCCCAGTTGCTCCCGGTGATGACACTGATGTGTGAGTGCTTGGGAGTGCGAATGGGTGAAAGCTCTTAGTGTTGCAATCCATAGAAAAGCACTATACAAGTATAAGACCATTTAATTACAAACATGAACATGGAACCGGTTTGGGGACCACAGGATCTCGTCTCTGCTTTTTGCTGATGACGTTGTCTTGTTGGCTCCATCAAGCCAGGACCTCCAGCGTGCACTGGGGCGGCTTGCAGCCGAGTGTGAAGCGGCTGGGATGAGAATCAGCACCTCCAAGTCCGAGGCCATGGTTCTCACTCAGAAAAGGGTGCCTTGTTCCCTTCAGGTTGGTGGAGAGTTCCTGCCTCAAGTGGAGGAGTTCAAGTATCTTGGGGTCTTGTTCATGAGTGAGGGAAGGATGGAACAGGAGATTGACAGGCGGTTCAGTGCAGCTTCTGCAGTAATGCGGTCAATGTACCGGTCCGTTGTGGTGAAGAAGGAGCTGAGCTGTAAGGTGAAGCTCTCGATTTACTGGTCGATCTACGTTCCGACTCTCACCTATGGTCATGAGCTTTGGGTCATGACCGAAAGGGCAAGATCCCGGATACAGGCGGCCAAAATGAGCTTCCTCCACA